GCATTTCTTTTGCGTAGCGGTAAAGTCGTAGGCAAAACAAAATCAGTCGTCCACCCTCGAAGGAGGTATGTAAGTGGAGGGTTGGAATGAGCGCCGCCGTATGCAGTTAGACACCCCGAAACAAAGTTTATCTCAGATGTTGTAAGCTAAGTTGCATTTACGCTCTCAGTGCTTTTGCTCAACTTCATTGCTTCGCTATTACACAAATTATTGCTAAAATTACCATTAAAGCGCATTGTTCTCTTCGCCATAATCATCGAAACGTTGTGTCATTGTGACGCATGCGTGCTTTTGGGTGAAGCCATGAGTAAATTTTCTTGACGCACGAGAGCCAATGTTCAGCGTGTGAGCAACATATTAGGAAATATGAGCTTCATTCTCTTTTATATGTACATTTGTAGGTAGCCCGGTGTCATAGGTACGCAGCTAACTACGCTCACGATTTTGTCGCACATTGCGACAAGGGTTGCATGCAAAATGAGCTTTTTCTGCGAGTTGGCGTACTTTATATATATTTATGTATGTATGTATGTACATATAAGCACGACTCGTGAGAGTAATATCGTTGATATCATTCTTACCCACTGTGCGCACTTTGTGTTCACAACTTGCGTTTGCCTTTCTATTGAAGCATCGAATCGACGATAATAGTATACAGTGGGATGAACCTGGAAAAATTTAGACATTTAGAGAACACTTGAGATTCCATAGGAACCTTTCTCAACATTTTTAAATGGCGAAACGAAAAGGAATCCACACTAATGCATAGAAACCAAAATAAAAACAAACAAGATCCTTGGTGCCCATGGCCCGGCCGCGAAGAGCTGGTAGGGCGTGGGAAATTTGAAATATCACATGCCCAATATGTTAGGAGAATTATGTTGTTTGTACTAATTACCGAGTCCAAAACGTTCCCAATCGTCCTGCTGACAAGTATAGACTCAATCAGCGCCGCTAAGTTCTGGTTAACTCCAAGCTCATCTAAGGCAGCAGTTATGGCACTTGCATTAATGTTGTTGAAGACGCCTTCTATATCTACAAATCTGGTTACCAGAGCATACTCGTTTATCTGATAAGCTTTTTTCCACAAACCCGACGAGCGAGTGCAAAGCGGTTTCCGTAGATTGGCCTTTCGTATAGGCACGCTGCGCTGGGGAGAGCCTACTTGTTGGTATCACGCCCCGTACATAATCATCCACTATCCGTGAGCTGGACCGCTGGATTCCGTTGATAAAATTTCTTAACATTTTTATGTAGAATTTGTAAGCTTAAACTCTTCTATTATCCGTGGTAATTTTTTTTTAAATAATATTTTTGAAAACAAATCTTATTTATAAAAAATTTTCTATGATCTTGCAACTACAACATTGGTCCGATGCGTCAATGAGTCGTGTTCTTTCCGTGTTCTTTCTTGAAAGGATGTGGTCGAATCTTTCCTTGCTAATTCCTCACTTTTACAATTCGTATTAATATTGAGGCTTCCGAGCATATATGTTCATTAATTCAGAGATTTCTTTGATCCATAACATGGTTTCTTTGCGCCTTATTGCTGCAATGCGCACAACCTAGCGAGTTTTCGAGTAGCGTATAATAGGACCACTTATGCTAGGTATAACCTCAAAAAATTTGATTGAAATCTATCCAGTGGTTTTTAATGCAGTTCAACAGAGCTCCTTAAAACGAACCGAATGGCATCGAAATTGTAATATCGGAAAATGCTGACTTATTCCCTTGGGTAATTAATCAATTCATATATGTAGATTATTCCGATGTAAAAAGAGTACTGTTTGTTTTTTTACATGGAGAGTGATCCACCCTGTTGTACATATGTATGTACTAGAGATGTTAATTTTTCAGCTTTTTCCGATCCCGGCATTTTCGGGATGTCTTTATCACAATCCCGGGATTCCGGGATTTCGATATTCATTACTTTTCAACAACTTAAGTCAAAAAAATTGCTTCTATATTGTATGAAAAGCTCTCCTACCATAAAATAAATAATAAATAAATGGGTTTGAAACCTACTTTTTTATTTAAAGTGGCGTTTTTATTATTTTTTCTCTGACGTCCGGATTTATTTTAAAGGACTCTGTAATTTCAAAGATAAGATTAATTCCAAAAATTGTTTAAAAAATTCATTGCAATGTAGAATAAAAATATGGGTACCAAATGCAAGAAGAAATTTCTTTCGAATTAAAAAAAATTAATTTTTTTGGATTCACAAGGACGAATAGGTAATTTTTTAAGCTGATAAAGTCAGAAGGACGAAATTGGAGGATGTTATCGAGTTTATATAAGTCCTTAAAATATAATTAAAAAAAAAAAATTCAGGAAATTTCAAGAATAAAATTTTCAAAGGACATTTTCAATACTTACCAGTCCTTCTGCACCAAAACCTTGAATCTGCTTAAATTCTACAGGATTTCCTCTTTAATTTGATATCCATACTTCTTCTCCAAGCACATTTCTCTGAATCTTTTAAATCATTTTTGAATTACTGACGTCAGAGTGAGAAACTAAAACATTCTATTATATTTGGCCCATGGTTTCGCGAATATATCGATATTTGTGTTTAAAATTTACTATCACGCGGTATTATATGTAGCTAGACATTTATAAAAAAAAATATTAATTATCAAATAAAAACGAAATATAGCCAATATTGGTCAAGAAAAGGAGTTTCTATTATCGCCACCAGTGCAAATTACAAATCCCGAAAATCCCGGTATTATTTGCCAAGAATCCCGGGATTTTTGAGAGCTTAAAAACATTCCTTGTGTGTACATATGTATGTTATTTACTCTTCCAACTTTATAAGCGCGCAGACAACTTGCCATTTTTGGGTGGGTAGTGTCTGTATGTATGCACATACTCATTATACCCCAATACATACAGTGACGAGCAAAACTGTAACATGGTTTAACACTTTTTGTTTCAGCCACCACTATATTTCCAAGTTCTAACGACTTTCATACTTTTGCTGTATATTCTTGTTGGTACATCCCTACTCCCTCTCTCATAATGATTTGAAGTCAATACAACAACATTAAAAAAAACAGCAGACAAAAATGTAAATTAAGGCAGATGTTACAGTTTTGCACTCATATACTTTTAAGAGCTTTTTAACAATTTTCACGAAAAAAAAGAACTACTAACACAATGTTCAGTACTCTTTTGCCTGTTTCAGTTCCTGGATGTGATTTGGCATACCTTATTTGTATCTTTGTAAAAATTCTGGAGGTATAACCTTAGTTTGCTTTCACAGCTCACGTACTCGATTTTACGGACTTTGATACTTATTAGCTGTGCTTTTAGTTGATTTCGCAAATTCTCGATGAAATTCATGTCCGCGGTTTGTGGAGGTCATTTCAAATTAGCAAATTTTTTATTTTGTATCCAGTCTTTGCGAACATATGCAGTATGTTTTGGGTGATTTTTCAGCAGAAACTCTAATTTTTCGACTACATCTTGCAAATTTTGTTGAAATATGAACAGATACTGTTCCTTACGCATAATGCGTACTAACGGACCAACAAAATATTTGAAATACAACCTCAAACAATTAAGATCCTACCACTGTGATTCACAGTTTGCCGTACATGATGCGCTTAGGCTTAATTTGGGTCTTTGATCCAATACCATGCCCGGCCATCTGATTGAAAGCGATTAATTTAGTCTTGTCAGACCAAATAACCTTCAATTGAAACTTAAAAATATGTTTTTTATTGCATTCTGAACGGCCTAACATATCCCAATAGGCAACGGTTCGGTTTTCGTGCGATGCTGCGAAATGCTGCCACACTCGCACATGTATTATGATCAAATTTGCTTTTTTCTTCTTTATGATGCCTTTGCGCTCAATTTGGCAATTCTTCGCCTCGCTGTCTATTGATTTGCATTAAAGTTTAATACCTTAAGCGCTTCTGTAATAGTGGCTGCATCGCTACTTGCTGCTAAGTTCACAAGATACCGTACCGTAATATTTTTTAACAGACTTCCTCTGTCCTTGGGAGCACTTTAGGCTATATTTTTTCTAAGTCTTAACAATTTTAAGTAGCAAATTCCAAAATTTTTGCCACTTTTCGTGCGGTTCTGCCTTTCCGCAGTAAATCTATTATTTTCATTTATGGTTCCTGATTAACTATGTTATTTACTGGTGATCTCTTCTTCAATAAATTACAATATAGAAAAAAGTCATCTGACTTCCAACTAAGTAAAAGATAACTGTCAAATGCAAAACTGAGAGTGAGTGCAAAACTGTAACATCTGCCTTAATTTACATTTTTGTCTGCTGTTTTTTTTATTGTTGTTGTATTGACTTCAAATCATTATGAGAGAGGGAGTAGGGATGTACCAACAAGAATATTCAACAAAAGGAAGAAAGTCGTTATAACTTGGAAATATAGCGGTGGCTGAAACAAAAAGTGTTAAACCATGTTACAGTTTTGCTCGTCACTGTACATACATATGTAAGCATGTAGAGTATGCAACCTTGCGGCAACATGATAGTTATTCTTATTGTTGTTTTGAATCATTTTTTTCGCATATGTTTTACTCAAAGCACATAAAAGCCGTAATAAAGCGCAACAAACAAAATGAATGAGAAATTTCAGAGAGAACTACGAGCATTGACGTTGACTGACCATTTTTGAAAGCGCACACAGTTGTGCTTGTTTGTACTAACTAGAATAAAATAGTGAATAGAATGGAGTAGATACTTAAATGGGGCTGGTAGGCTGACTGGCTGACCGTCTGAATGCGTGCACTCCCTGTATGGACGCTGACTATTTGAGACTCTTTGAGCGCTTTTGAGACGTCAAACCCACTGCTTGTGCGCTACTCATATTGTCAGCGTTTGCTTGTGGTTGTTTTTGTTTTGTGGTGTTCAAATTGTTTTTTTTTGTTTTGTTTTTTGTCGGTTTCAATTTGGGGTTGGGGTGTAATGTAGGAGAGATTGAAGCTATTCAGAATGTAATTGAAATGTTATGCAGTACAGAATTTTTTCAGTTAAACGTGTGACGTTCAGCTGATAAGTTCAGTGTTCGAAAATCACCAGCGATTTTGAGTATTATTAATTCGAAATTTATGTACATTCCGTTTCAATTCGATTCATTTCGTTTCGGTCCGGTTCGGTTCGATGTTCGTGCGGGGTGGTACTGTCTGAGTTTGATAAAAAGCACATAATTGTACGATGAATTGTTTTTGGGCGTCGAAAATTTGTAGCGGCAGACCATAGCCGACAAATGTCACGAAATTTGAGTTGTTGCATATGACTGCCACAATATATCTAATCGTTAACGGTAAATGTGTATGTGAATGTGTAAGTGTTTGACTGAAATTTAAGTCGTAGCCGGTGTTCGTGAGTGGGTGGGTGCTTCGATGAATTATTCAAGCATTTGTATGCAAGCTGCAATTGTTTGCGTGTGCGTGTATGTGTGTCCCACCCGGCAACTATGTATTTGCGAGTGCACAGACTAACTGATTTGTATGAAGGTTAGTCCAGACGCGGTGCACCACACACCTACAAACAACAACGACTCGCTCACAGCAACTGAAAACACAAAATGCTGGAAGCATCGGAAAATTGAATTTTTTCTAAAGCAAAAATCTCGCATGAGCAAGTGAAAAAATTGGCAGAGAAGTGGTGTATAAGTGCACTTAAAAAAATAGTGGATTTTCAAAGGTACATACTTGCATACATATGCGACAAATAACAGCAGCGCCTCTCTTTTGCAAACAAGACTTTTTTGAATTTGCTACAAGAAAAGTTCGAGTAAGGAAAAGGTTATTAATCACAGCCGCGTGCATGCAATGTAAGTACGAGTAATGCCGGTAGGTAGTGGGCTGGGCTGAAAGCAATCAACAATCAATTTTTGTGCCTCCAACATGTATGTATATACAAAATCTCCCATAACTAAATGGAAATTATACTAGCAAAGAAGTTATATGTACATATGTATCATGTACATTAGGCCGAACCAAAAAAAAAAAGAAAAATCCCCGTCAACGCCCGAGTGTAAAGTATTTTTGCAAGACAATTTCGAATTCTTTATTTATTTCTGACCGAACGCAGGGTTCGTCTTTTTTACGCAGGCCCGCCGAGAGGGAGGGGAAAAGGGGTGAATCTCCCCGGGCCCGGGATTTTTAAGAGGCCTGAAATATTAGAATCATAACTTGTTATTATATTTTTACAATGTAATTGCCCCTTTGTTATAAGCTTTTATTATAAATATATTCCGATTCGTGCTGATTGTTTCTGACTCTATACATCAAAGAAAATGGCCAAATGCTTATAAATTTAAAAAAAATAATTATCTATAGGGGCCGCGATTTTTGAGTTTTCTCTCGACAGCCCTGCCCTTACATACGTACCACCATGTTACCACTAAATTAAAAGCCCACCAAAAATCATTTAACTTTTGCTAAGGGTTTTTTTTTTTGATTGTGCCAGTAGAAATATGTAGGTGTTACCGAAAATGGAAAAAGTGACTCCTAGGCTCGACAAAATAAAAGCTTTTTTTCGAAATTACCTTGAAAAAATACTTTATCCTAATATGGGTGAACGGCGAACTTTTTTTTTTGCTTGCAAGGTGGTATGGTCTAATGCATGGGCGCAACCGAAATATATTTTGGTGGGTGTAAGGGGGGGTTTATACTTATAAAGATATATTACCAGAAAATACCAAAATTTGTTTCAGATAATATGCTCTTTAAAATACATTTATGCAAGTTTTAAATAAATACACTTTTGAAAGTTTCATAAATTGTCATTTATCCACATAAAATAAACAAAGAACTCAAACATTTTTAACCGACTTCAAAAAAAAGGGAGGTTATCAATTCGTCGGTATATTTTTTATTTTTATTCTTGCTTCTGTATGCTACCGCATAACTTTGGACTAAGTAAACCGATTTCAATATTATTATTATTTTTTTTTATCGGAAAGATGGTACCCCAAGGGTCGTCCCGGAATTTGATTTAGATCCGATCATTTGATCATGAAAACATTAACGGTACTCCTAAATTTGTATATGATTGATAATTGAAGTCGGTTGTAGTTTTTGCTTAAAAATTACTTGTTTAGCGATTTGTTCGTAATTCGCATCGTAATTGGATCTGAATTGCCATCAAATGAGGTAATTCGCTCTCAAAATTTTGTATGGCGAATTACGTAATTCGAAGGGTAATTGGAGTGCGAATTAGGAATGAGAGAGCGAACTACGTAATTGGGGTGTCGTGGGAAAGCCGTATTAAATATTGTTGATTAATAACCTATTTCCACCAGAGGCTTAACTGCAGTTAAGAGCTCAGATAAGTTCCAAGAATGGGACTGAGCGGCAACATGGGGTGAGCGGCAAGGTTTATTCTTAGTGTTTGCTTTTCTCCATTCGATTGGTTGTACTTAGTAGGAGGAATTACCTCCTTCGAGTTGTAATCTCCTTGTTCCAATAGGTGTAAACCGCAGTTAAGACTTGGTGGAAATGAACTATAAGCCTAAAGGGCGTTTACACAGTTCAACTTTAAAATTTTCACAGGCTTTTAGTTGAATCTAAAGTTTCCATCATTTAGCTGAAAGTTGAACAATGGGGTATTAATATTGGGAATCTCCTGAAGAGAAACAAAGTTTTCCGATCGCAAATTATTGATTTTCAAGAATTCTATACCATTTCTACGAAAAATGGTTTTTTTTCACATATAAAATACATTGGAAACTTTGAGCGCTTTGAGCGACCTCTAAATAAATATTTTTTGATTTCGGTATAGAACAATCCTAGGGGATGAGAGTATAAAAATTCTGATTTTACTTTTTCACATGCATTTTTGGACCACCCAAGTGTACACATATACATAAATATATATGTATGCGCTCTTTAATAAGATATTTAATTAAATTAGACATTGGATTTCCCACCAACTATGATCCTCGAATCGGATCATTGTTGCCGCCAGGGATTGAAGAGGAAAAAGTTCTTCAAATTCATTTCGCTGTGCAATTAACCGTGCTGTGAAATGCCAGATTATTGGAGAATTTCAGGAACTTCTTCACGGACATACCCTTTTGCTAGGTTATTAAAGACGGTAATGGAAATATGCCTTCTGACAACGACCAAACCCTAATATTAGCAGATAAGTGCATCACTGGAAATGTTTCAATAAATAAAAAATTAGTTTTGGTCGGGACGAAGTCCGCCGGATCTGCTAGTATATTGATAAAAATTCATAAAATAACGATTATATTTCATCGGAAAAATAAAAATGAAAGTTTTAAATTTTTAATTTTTAAGTCTAAAGATCACAACCGTTTCAGTGCCTGGTCGCAAATGCATAGCTTTAGAGCTTAACATTCGACAAAATATGTGTGAAGCTATATCTTTTATACAACTCGATGCAACCTGAAACAAATTGCTAAATATTGAATTGCAGCCGGGTTCTGAGCCATATTGCAGATTTCAAGTCTGTAGCTCATCGCGAAGTTTCTTAAAAATCGATTGCAAAGTTTGTACTAAAATTTGGAGAAACAAAAAAATTTGTTGATATAAACGTGCTAAAATACATATATCTACACACATACATACATGGTTACTTTGCAGTAAAATTAGTCGTGAAAAATGTGAAATAGTAAAAGTCGAAAAATAAAAGAAATAGCCTGGCTTGATGATTTGTCATATTACACCAGATGCTAAGAAAGCTACTTTACTACCACTTGTTCGTATTAAATATGTACATAACTATGTAGCAGCAGGTACGGGCACTACTACTTAAAATTTTAACTACTTACGGTGCAATCGCCGTCGGTCTATATTCGTCGTCAATACTGCGGCTGTCGTTGGCATTGCGTTTAATTAATTAAAAAGTTTATAATTGGGTTTAATGCACACGCATGTAGCTACATTTATATATGTACATATGTATGTAACATGGGTCGGTGTGCAGTTGGTGCTGTTAACGCGCCGCCACTCACATTCATCGAGGAAAAGTTAAAACTTTTCCAAAAACGGTGTACCAACCGCCGCGGCGACCACCCGCAGTTCAACTAACTAAAATAAGTAGCAATTAAACAAGTCAACTACATGCGCGCATTTTTTTACCAACCTCACATACATATGCATGAGTACATGTATGTATGTATGTAAGTATATTTGTTTTTTCATTGGATAATTTTGGGATTTTAACAATGCCATAATAGCAGTTTTTATTGCAACTACTTTTGGTGCGTTAGGTGTGGCAGCTGCCGACAAAAGGTGTTGCAAAGTTATAAAGTGCAAGCGCGAAATGCGAATAAATACAGTAGAAAAGCATAATAACAGAAAAACCAGTGTATAAGTATGTAATACACATTTAAAAATTAAATTAAAATGCTCACCTCACTAAAAGTGATGAGAAAAAGGAAATACAGTGTTTTTGCTTCGATATTGTCGTTTACAGGGTTGCCGACAGAGATGTTAAAAATACTTTTAAATTCATATTTAAATACAAAATAGAAATAGGACACAAAAAAGTTCTTGAAATACAAATATGTAAAACTACTTTTGCTTAAAGTATTTAAATACAAAATACATATTTTGAAAATGAGAAAACATTTGGAAATATTTTTTAAATCGCACGTATGTACATTGAGGTGGTCCTTATACATATATATGAAGCACATTCTTACATCAGATTTCTTAAACCTCAACCCCTAGGTCGATGCTGCTATAGCCGAAGATATCACATATATATTTTGGTCCCGGTCGGAGACGGTTAAGGCGTGTCGCGCAGGGGGCAAAGTTCAGATTCTTCTATGGAGACTCAAAAAATTAAAATTAAAATTTTTTTCATCTATTTATTTGATGATTATTTGATTTAGTCAAGTAGGCGGGATTATGTAGTCCAGGCGCCTGAAGTCTACTGGATGATCATCCAAAATTCTACAGTGCCAAAATCTCGCGTCCCTGCATTCGATCAGCGATAATCTAAGAACAATACAGCTTGCCTGTAGGTTACCATATAAGTCCACAGGTAGAACGTAGGGCATTAGTCGGCGTCAATGGTAAATCCCTGGGTTACAACTGCTTCCCGACTTCATACAATGAAGGACTCTGCATTCACTCCTTCCACTCCTTCACAGTCATAAGCGATCGATAACTTGTTGCTGCCATTGTTGGTAGAAAACCAAATAAAAAGTGGAGGCAACGTAAAAAAAATGTTTGGTGAAAAAACTAATATACATACGTCCACTGTCATCCGACTGTCACCAATTGCTTTCGTGCGTTGAGTTTTCGATTCCTAAATGTGTTTTAAAATTTTTTTTCTGCATTTCATCCGTACGTGCCACTGCAACAGAATTGGGAAATTTATGAATAAACAACAACAGCAATAGTTGATAGCACACATGTATCTACTTTTGCGTCCCGGCTAGCTCCAATCTACATGGATAAATTCCGCATTGCAATGAGTTGTATTGATTGAGAATTACGCACACTTTTTCGCGCTCGATGAATTGCTTTCGGATTTGAATTTTGCTACGCCATCGGTTAGTCAGCCGGTTGGTGTGTTAAAAGTGGTTTACCTATATTCATCGCTAAGAAACACACGTACATAAATACGTACAACGAGATGAAAAAAAATTGGATTAATCTTAGTTATCCCTATCGCATGAACTGGTGAGTGGAAAGAAAAATATGCATGCTCCACAAAAATTTGTCTGCAATATTTTTCTCGCTTTTTTTTTGAAGAAACTAAGTATATGTCACCATATCGCAGGTTTTCCATATCTGCTTTGATGATTGGCCGGAGTTTTGAAAATTTATGTTAATAAATCTATGAATGTCT